AAACATCGTTTGTTTTTAGTTTATTTCTTGTTTATTTTTTTAATATTAAAACTTTCATGTAGGAATGTTTGTCAACGAATAATAAATGTAAATTGGTGAATTTGAAATTTGAAAATGTTTATTTCATTAGTAGTTTATTTTAAGCAAGAATTCTGACAAGAAAGTGGAATGTTTTCAAAGCAAATTGGACTGTAATAACATATTTAATATAATGCAAATTTTTTCGTCCATAAATATTCAAAATATATGCCACAAGCTAATTAAATTAAAATACCTTTCACAAGGTGATGCTATATTCAAAATAGTGTATGTAAATATATGAAATTTATAGTACGTTGAACATAATATATTTGCTGCTCTTTCTGTATTTTCGGCAGATTAAGGAATGCTAGCAACCAAGGATATTTTCCTTATTTTTCTTTCAAACATGTACTTCGCAATATCGCCAGGAATTGGTTTAAAATTACATGATTATCCTGAAATCCCTTTCACGAATCCTTATCGTTGCAAATATGAAAATTCAGATTTTCTGAAAGAGGAAGAATACACGAGTGCATGCAGCCAGGATTCCAGATTCATCAGAAATTCAAGGGGATCAAAGGGCTTTATTTAAAAAGTGCTCATTTGCAAGCCAATTTACGGGATTTTCCAAATATACGTGGTTTTGATATAGGAAAACGAAAAGGATAGATAAAAGAGTAAATAGATATGAGATGTACACATGTTTTTGTAATTTGATTTTGAAGTACAAAAGGTTTATTATTGCGCAATCAAGTCCAATTTTTAGACATGAAATTAAAATGCTGATTTGATAATTTTCAAATGAGAATCATTTTTCAAACGTACGAGCAAAGTTTTTAGGTTTTTTTTTCTTTCTAATACCTCATAGTTTATTTTCGTTTTTACTTGGTCGTTGGAAAATTATTTACAAAAATATTATACGAAAATGAAAAGTCAGTGTTTTCTAGAGATTCATTTTTAGAATAAATATACATTTCCGTTTCCAAAATGGATGAGGTAGACAAATTGATTAATTACTCGAACCATTTTTCATGACCTGCCAACAATATTAAGAAAAAACGTATATGTAAAATTTCTTGATATTTTTGTTAAAAGTTTGGTTTAAATTAAATGTCAGTGCAATCAAAATGACATCACACTAAAATGGCGTACAAGGAATAATTTTAAACTATCAGAGGTTCGACTAACAACATTGTACAAGGCTATCTTATTAAAGGGTCTGTAAGCGGCTTTATCTAAATATTTTAACAAAAACGCAAAAAACATACTGATTTTTATTTCAAAAGGGACACATCAACAATCTTTGCTGCAGAGGCACTTCGATATAGGAGACCTCAAAATATACAGAGCAAATAAAACTCACAACACTTTAATTGAAACTCTTTATAAACGTCAAAAAATGAGCAAGAGATCAAAACACTTTAAACTCTTTAAAAATGACCACCACCTAAGCAAAAATTGCGAAATTCGGTCGAGTTAGTAGCATACCGATATGAGTGTATCGTGAAGGTACGTACCAATGACTTATAGGAAACGTCAATTTGAAATTTGGCAAAAAGGCGAAGAAAAATGGACAAAAATCGTTTTGGTTGCTCAAATATTAGTTTAGTAATATTAATTTCAAAAACAAATAAAATTAACGTTAAACTACGCTTAAGAGTTTTATTTATCTTGTTTAATAATCCTTTCAAATACCATGCAAAATGAGAATTTTTGTAGAAAACATTTTATTGTTTTCTTATAAATTATACACATTTCTTCCAACAAAATCCTCCCGAAATAACACTCGACTGACGTCTCGTAAATTTTAAAGAGGATTTTGTTTCATGAAATTTAGACGTATAATTTCCAAGAAAACAGCAAAATGTTACCCTTGAAAACATGATTTTAAATCACTTTTAAAAAAATTGAGTTATACCAAAAATTGTAGATATCTATATGATTTGTATAAGGAAATCATGAGTATTAAATTTCATAGTTTTTATTAGAAAACGAAAAAACTATACAAAAAGCCGGCCTTGTATTCTTCAGAATTTGACGATGAAATTGTTTTACAAGAGAGCGTTTAATTTTTACCCAAACCTCAGTTAAAAAAGTCCAAGGGACGCTAAATTGGTGATTTTGACATTATCTGCCCTGCGAGGATCTACAAGAAAAAATGTAGCACAAATGAAACGATTTTATTTTTAACGAATTGCGTTTAATTTTTACCTTTGTGAAATATCTGTATCTGTAACGTTTGGAGGGTGGGATGCCCCACGGCACTTAGGCGTCTTTAGGCCCATTGTACATCCTCCTAAATTGTTAGGCACCTCCGAGCTCCTGAGCCAGCCCTCAGATTTGATGTAGTTGACAACGCCGTCAAGAGGTGCTTCTCTTATATAGGCCGGTGTTAGCCAATTCTCGCCAAACACAAATGTTTTAATAATGAGAGCGTCGGACAATATTTAAGGTGGTTTCATATTCTTACTCGCATCCTCTAACAAGTGCGGATTCTGACAGCCCTGTTTCATGGCGATGTTTCTGTACTTGGCACTGACCAGTCAGGAGGCGCAAATTCCATCTAGTTATATTCAAGTGTGTATTTTCTCTGTCAGGATAAGTTAAGTTTTTTCATTCCAACTTTCTTTTGTGAAGTATAACTTAGGCCTAAACACGGCGTAGAAAACGAAGAAGTACTTCACGTGTCGCGTTTTGATTAGGATTTCAAAAAAATTATTTGAAAATATTTGGGCCCATTACCTCTTACGCCTGCCCATGTAACAATCCTCCTTTACTTTTTAAGCAAGTATCTAAGTCCTCTACCCCTTAAGCCCATACGTTTAAAAATATTTGGAATCTTTACCTCTTAATCTAACGCATGTAAAAATATTATTAGGAAGGATCGTTTATCTTTTTGATCCCAATATCAAATTTAGATAATAAAATTTAAATCAAATCCTTCAAAATATGTTTAAAAAACTTTAAATAATTTGGATAAAAAGAATAACAAATTCACAGTCGACAAGCAGTAAATTCACTGCCCATGTCACAGTGTACAAAATAAGCTCTATAAGAAATGCACTACATTAAAATACTAATATTTAATTTAAAGTACATACTAAATTTCAAATGAAAATTCTAAAAAATCAATAGGGTTATCAGCTGAAAGAAATGCTTCAATTAAATAAAGACCGTAAGTGGTTAGACTTTCGTTGTAGAGTTATCTTTAACGTACATATACAGGGTGTCCCGAAATTAGACGGTCATATTTCAACGCCGTAATTTACATCCTAAAATAGGAGTGAACGTTCATATAAACATAGGTCCGAAAACATTTTGTTTTCGAGATACAGGGTGTTACAAGTAAAGTCCTGATGGCACATTTTTGTAAATATTTTCTAAAATTTCTTTAGTCACCGGTTTAAAAAAAAAAACAATTAAATTTCTGATTCCACGGGCCCACTAATTATTGTTTACACTTTCGAATAAGATAACATCAACTTATTATGAAATTTTGAAATGCTTCTCTCTTGAAAATGGTGCGTCCTAGCGAGATGCAACAAAAGTAGCTTTATTATAAAGGAAACATTGGTTTTACAAATTTTATAGTCAAAAATGTTAAAAAATGTCAACAAAAAACTGAGGCCAATTTTACCCCAAGCCCCCTCTAATTTACCCACCTATGAAGATGATCAAACACTTACGTTTAGTCCATTGAATATAGCGTAAAAATATAAGCATTTGTACCAAATTTCACTTAGTTATCTTTAAACGTTTAGAAAATATTTACAAAAGTGTCTCCTCAGGACTTCACTTTTAACGCCCTGTATCTCGGAAAAGAAATGTTTTGGACCTATCTTTATATGAACATTTACTTCTATTTTAGGATATAGATTATGACCGTCTAATTTCGGGACACCCTGTATTCATACGCACAGACGACCAGATAATAGCTTTTTGCATTTTCTTTCATAGAGTGTTCGTCTAAGTTGCCACAATTCTGGCAGGTGCCACAACAGAGGATAATGCACACACCAATTGCCATAGGTACAGTGGAACACACACACACACACACACACACACACACACACACACACACACACACACACACACGCGCACACACACACACGCACGCACACACACACACACACACACACACACACACACACACACACACACACACACACACACACACACACACACACACACACACACACACACACACACATACATATCCAGAAAATAGTCAAAACGGATTCAGGGGACCCCAAAACGTAAACATCCTTTGAAAACTGGAGGTCGAAAAAATCATGAATCCTATACTTTTCTTATCTGTATACAGATAGAAAAATAAAAAGTACGATTATGTATATTAGTTTTCTGAACGACTGTTCCAATATAATTCACGAAGTATGGATGTTAAAGAGTGTAGCTACATCTACGTAGGAATGGATTAACTAAAATTTAAATTTAAATCATGTTTTTAAAAACCAGAAGTCTGTGGAGTCCTTAAAGTCTGTCCTAAAAGGGAAGATATTTAGAAAATTATTTATTTATGAAATTCACTTTAACATCCTCTAGAATGAAAACTGGGACGTTTATGAGAAAATTATATTTGGGTTTTCTTTATAATTAGTTGAGATCTTCAAATCCCCAACTACGGTAATTTATTCTGAAACACCCCGTATAAATAAATTAAAAAATTAAAAATGTCATTATAAAACTCATTCTTTTTTCTGGAAATACACATATGAACTTTAGACGTTACATTTTGCATCGTTACCATATTTTAAGATAACACGCTGTGCATTCAACAATGTAAAAAGAAACCAACCTAACAACAACATTTAAAATGAATTTCAATTGATAATCTTCTGACCTTTTTAACAAAAATAACATTATTTTGCTTTGTAACAAATTGATAACTGCTGGGAAATTCCGAAACAAATATGTATCAATTATTGTGCAATTTATCATTATAAAATATACTTTCAAGCATCATTTTCGTTAGTAGTGACCAACCTGTTGTCCCGATCGAATAATTTTTTTAAATAAAAAATGTTCAACAAAATGTTTTTGATTCGATTTGTTTTGGTGTCTTGTTATGGTTTAGTGATTTCAAAAAATGTAGAGGCTGAATGTAAAAAAAGTGTTCCCGATACGTTACGTTGTGAGAACGTTGCAAAAATTTCTTGTGAAGTTTTGAACAAAAATTATGAAAACTATACAAAGTTAGAGATATTGAACACCAACGAACCTTTTGGCATGTCTGCATTTACAAACATGAAAAACTTAACAAGTATTCTCATTATGGGAGGCCGAATTGGAATAATATATACTGAAACTTTTAAAGATATACCACATTTAGAAAGTGTAATAATACATACTGTTAAAATAGGAGATATTCAAGAATCAGTGTTTTTCAATTTACCTAAACTGAAAACAGTAGTAATAACGAATACGGATATTCCATTTTTAAGAAAAGGCATTTTCCGTAATGTCCCACAACTTTACTTAATCAATATTGAAAACGCTAACTTACGTTATATACAAAATGAGCCTTTTTACGACGTGCCATATTTAAAAGAACTTTCTCTTTATAACAACTTGTTAACTATTCTGACAAAAGATATGCTGTATAATTTGGAAAATTTGGTATATTTAGATTTGTCTAACAACAGTATATCAATAGTAGAAAAGAATACTTTTGACGCAACTCCGCATCTATCGAAACTAAATTTAGAAGATAATCAACTGATAGCACTTGATTTGGATATATTTCCTACGACCGGAATGAAATCTTTGCAAACGATTTATTTAAAAAGAAATCAATTAATGTATCTACCGTCTACATTTTTTACTAGAACACCCGCTTTACAGGAAATTAGTCTGAGTCACAACCCATGGTTTTGTCCTTGCTTGTTCGAAATCCATAGGATTTTAAACCTATACAACATTACGGAAATTTGGGTTAAGGAGATCTGCATAGAATATGGTCGAAATTCTTGTAAGAAACCAATGCCTTATAGTCACAGAAGACTTCCCATTTGCATCAATAGAAATGTTTCAGACATTAATTGCACAAATACATATAGTCAAAATTTAAGTGAAAAGTATTTAAAGTACACCAAAGAATACGATGAATTTATTGGGAACAACCTGGAAGTCTTCAACGTTACTTGAATTAATTTTTGGAAAAGTTAATACCACAAAAATATGTGTACCTCTAAGCTTTAATATATACACGGTGATTTATTTATTCAAAGATATTCTATTTTAAGAACAATACAAAAACCATATAGTGCAGTAACTGAAGAAAAATCGCTGATGAGTTGCCACACGTAGCTCACTTTGTAGGTCATCGTAGGTGTTTTTAAATGAGAAAATCCTTAACGCGTTCTTGGTACCGGAAGGGGCTGAAAATGGACCCCAAAACTCTGAAAAACGGGTTTCCCGCTAATATCTGGCTAAATATGCCAATTAAAGAATTTTTGTGCAGAGAAAAATGAAGATCAGCTCATTCTCTACAAAAATGATTCCTACAAATTTTTTCGTAATGTCAATATTTTATGCAAAATCAGACTTCGAAAAATCCATAATTTTCATATTGAATAGATATGGTAGTTTCTTGCCGAATTTCCGCTCGATGGAGTTGGAAATGCATTGATCTTCATCTTTTGGATTTTAGAGATCAATTGCAGATGGCGCCAGCATCTTTGCTCCTCTCGTTAAATTACGGAGTCCGTAAATGAAAATCTTGGAAATAATCGATTATTCGACAATTACTGGCGGATTTCACCTGATATTTTTCTGCAAAGTAGCGCTTGGGCTCTTTCAATTGTATTAGCGAATGTTCTGTGCAATTTGAGTTGCAAATTTACCAGAAAATTACAAAAATGTATTTTTCCTTGAATCCCGTTGTTTTGGCTAAAAGCAAATGACAACTTTTAGAGCGTGGTGAATATTCACCATACAACCATTTTAAACAATTTTGGCATTTTTACGATTTTTTTGCAAACTTTTTTCGAAATAATATGGGTGTAGGATTTCGGAAAAAATACGCAAGTATTCCTGCAGGTAGAGCAGCAGCTGAAATGAGGGGAATTTTAAGTGCCATTATCTCGAAAACTATTGAATTTTCGAAGAAAATGATTGCAGCCATTTTTGTAGATAATGAGCTGATATTCATTTTTTGTCTAAACAAAAATTCTCTAATTGGCATATTCAGTCAAATATTAGCGGGAAACCCATTTCCCAGGTTTTGGGGGCCATTTTCAGCCTCTTCTGGTACCAAGAACGCGTTAAGGATTTTCTCGTATGAAAGCACCTGCGATGACCTACAAATTGCGCTGTGTGGGAACTCATCAGCGAATTTTCTACAGGTTTGACCCTTCAGTTACTGGACTAATAATTTCCCTAACTATTTTTTCAGGATATAATAATTTTAAAACCTAAGAGTGTAAATTTTAAATCTGATGATATGACCAGTTTTTGAGATACAATACGTAAAATTGGACAATTGCTGATTTTAGTATTTTTTTTTAATTCACTTTATGGATCATATGTAGGTTTGAAATAAGTTTTGGTTAGATATCCATGTAACGGTTTAAAATATATAAAGATACAGATTGATTCACGAAAAAATCACAATATATTTTTACGAACACTCGAATACATTTGATCGAAAGCATTTGATCGAAGCAACATTTAATAGAATAACAATTGATCGATAACAAAAATTATTAAAAAGAAAAATGATCAAAAAGAACAATGATCGAAAAGAAAATTGATCGAAAATAGATTTGATCGAATAAGCAATTGATCAAAAAGCCAAATATACATAAAATTAAAAAAATAAAAAACTCAACTAATTTACCTAACCTTTGCGGCCTAGAGTCATCGTTGGTTGCTTCGCAAAAACAAATATACAAAAAATAAAAAATAATTAAAAAAAGACCAAACTTCACATTTTTTATAATTTGTTTTACGAGGCAATCCGCGTAAAACTTACCTACATTATTTACCTAACCTGTGCGAGAGCAATCAGTTTAAAAATAAATTGCTCATGGCCAAACAGGTTAGTTAACTAAGTAAAGTTTTTTATTTTTCTTTCTTGTATATTTTTTGCGACGCAACCCTTGAGGGCTCCAGGCCGCACAGGTTAGGTAAATAAGCTAAGATTTTTTTCTCATTTTTCTATATTTCTTTTGCGAGGCAAACCACGACGGTTCCAGGCCGCACCAGTTAGGTAAATTATTGAGGTTTTTTATTTTTCTCTTTTTTGTATATTTTTTTACGAAGCAACCTTCAACGGCTCCAGGCCGCGCAGGTAAGGTAAATTAGTTAAGATTTTTTTATTTTTCTGTAATTTTTTTGCGAGACAAACAGCGACGGCTCCAGGCCGCACAGGTTAGGTAAATTAATTTAATTTTGTACAGAAAAAAAAAACATAAAAATAGTTTACCCAAAATGTCCCATGGGGAGATAACTCGACCTTATTGAAATATATATTTTGTGCGAAATAATCACAATTATTTAATCTCAATGAAGATAAATAACCCTTTAGCTCTAAAAATTTTAATTTACCAATATTTTAAGGATAAAATTTGTTAAACGAGGTAACTATCGTTCGAGTTTATAGAAAAATTTGCCATTGGTACTTAATTTGATAGCAGCTGAGTTTAGTTACCCCGGTAGTAGGGACTAGACGGACGATTGCATGGTGTCATTTGAGTTTTTTATATTTTACCATTTTTAATGTTGATCTTCGATGTATTGTCCTTTTCATCTAATGAATTTTAAATCTATTGTCCTTTCGATCAAATGTCATTCGATAAAATGTATTTTTGATTAAATTTCCAAATTGATCAAATTTTCACATCGATCAAATGTTTTTCGATCAATTTTGTGTCACCTAGTTAAAAACACCATAAAAATTATTTTATTGAGTTAATATCTATCCATTTACAATTTTGAGGTTAAAACATTTTGCTGTGTACTTTTTGTACAGGGTAAACCATGCAGCCATCCACTAATAATAAATATATTTTAAAATTAATAAAACGAGACCATGCATTTTTTTAATGACTTTTAAGTATGTAGTCGTAAGATTTTAAAATATACAGAGTAATCTAGCTGTGACAATTTTTATATATAAGACAATACAGTTGATAAATATCCATTTTCTGAAGTAGATGTAACTGAAATACTAGGTAACTTTTTTGTAGAGATGGGTACTTTACAATATATCTATACAGCGTGACTACTTTTTATATTGAACGGTATTGCTATGTCAAAAACCGTAAAAGTTACAAAGTCGGTTAAATGGGAAAAGATTTGTACTGTTGCATGACTAATTTAGTGATGTTTTAAAACCAAGAACATCAGATATTTAAGGAAAACCAAATTGACTATTTTAGATTTTCGATTGTATTGCCTTTATTTTACAAATTAAAAAAAATGTAATTAGATAATATATTTGTTATTAAGCAGCGCTCAATTTGCCGTAGACAGATTTTTTATACAACGTTTCGTTTCTGGAGGGCCATCAAGTATATTTTTTTGAATACGGGCCTGTATTTTTTATTCTATTTTAAAAAGTACTTTTAATTCTAAATTAAACCATGTAATACACATTAGTAGTTTGGGAAGTTTTGATACTTTTTATTATTGCTATTGTAAGTTCACTGTAAATTTTATTGTTTTAATACAGACTTGTATATTTTATTATGTTGTTTTATTAAGATAACTACTAAAACAACACACCTAAAATTATTTTTAAATTAACCTCCGTTTCGTTACATTTGCTTCCTTTACTAGAAATTTAAGAGCAATCGTACCTGAGCCATACCTGTAGTGTTAAAGAGGGCTGGCGGTTAATAAGAAAAGTACCTTAAAAACTAAATAAATCTTAAATAATTGATAGTATTCCTAAGGCTTCCTCTGCAATCTTACCTTAATTTTCTGTTAAAATTGTTTTATTTGTGCTCCAAATAAAAATATCCAATACACAGGTCATTCTTTCCATATTTATTTCCAATCAATAATCCTTTTTCATACTTTTTTTTTCAAAATTTCCATCTGATAGTTTCCAAAAATTCTGTGACAATTCCCAATCTCGACATCCTCAATCTTTATAAAAAATATTTTTTTAATTTTCGGTACCGACCTTACCTATCAAACGTTGATTAGCAAATTTACAAATTTAAAAACCAAAAATATATAATAATTCTATTATTGAATCAAAACATCATTCAAACAGCCCCACTATCATTTACGCGGTAGTTTTAGGACAAATGATGCATGAATTGTAATTCTTCAAATGGCAAAACTGGCCAGCTATGACCTACGAACATTTGACAGTTCATCGAAAATAAACGGCGCTGGTTCAACGTAAAGATTTTGTCGTTATAAAGTAAGTTTTTGAGTACATTTTATTTTTTTTTCTGACATATATCAGGCGCAGCTCGTAAGTCATTGTATAGGTGGGGCAAATTGTGGTAGATAGTGCCACAGGCAAAACCGCCCCTGGCCCGCACTAGAAAATTCATTGGAAAGTCAAAAAAGGAACATTTTAAAAATTCATACATACAACACAATACGAAACAAATGAAAAACCTAAACAACTTTAATCCGAACCATTTGTTTGGGTTTTTATTTGCACGAAACTATTATTCTGATACTGCGTAGGTCTAGGCGCTTTTAAGCACGTGCATTATATTGGTCGGTTGTCGATAATTACTTGTCGGTTTTCAACTTCAAAGCGGGTGCACATGCTGTTATATATCTGTCTTCTTGGAATCCATTTTTTCTTATGGATTGCCTTATAGCTCAGATAAGTGATTGAGAAAACCAGTCCATAAATTAAACTGACTGCCCTTTCCCTTAATATTTTCAAAGCTTATTTAACTAAAATTGACAAAAAGGTAAAATCTTCTGACGAATTATCCGAACCTTTTGTTTGGGTTTTTATTTGCACGAAACTATTATTCTGATACTGCGTAGGTCTAGGCGCTTTCAAGCCGTGCATTATATTGGTCGGTTGTCAATAATTACTTGTCGGTTTTCAACTTCAAAGCGGGTGCACATGCTGTTATATATCTGTTTTCTTGGAATCCATTTTTTCTTATGGATTGCCTTATAGCTCAGCTAAGGGACTAAGAAAATTCAGTCCATAAATAAAACTAACTGCCATTTCCCTTGATATTTCAAGAGCTTACTTAGCTAAAATTAAAAAAGAAGGTAAAATCTTCTGACGAATTATCCTGCAAACTCAGTCCTAATATAGATAATAGGCGTATTTTTACTGTGAAACAAGAGGATTTGCTAGCAGATTATTTTAAAATATAATAAAATATTTCTGAATGAATAAATGAATAGGTAATGCTTTATTAAAATTCTAGAACATTTTGTAGTGGATGTCTAGTCCTCCAAAGAAAATCTAGCATTAATTATAATCGACAATTATTATAGTTTACATGTTAACATCAGTGCGATTTAATTTGCTGAAGAAAACTTTATTGTAATACTCACTTTTCCACCACACTGTAGCCATAGATTCAAGCCCCTTCATGTAACAGTATGTTATCAAATCCTCGTAAAAGAGTGACAATTTACCAATTTGGGACTCACAATGGACTTTTCCGTTGTACGAAATATTTCAGCAAACTATAATTAAGTTGATGAGACATGGAATATGAATTCATATCATTTGCGCATTCTTCTCACTATTAGTCAAACCATTATTTAAGAGGAAAGTGCTCTTAGACTAATACATAGCACAACAGACTGGTAAAGCTTCAGACTGGACCTTCAAAAGAAAACAAATCTTTCAGATCCGTTAAGAATAAAAGCACAACTAAATGAAGAAGTAGAACTATTTGTGTCCAACACACAGCCTGCAACATGGGATAATACCCCACGTATTGTTCAATAATCAACAGGAAATAACTATCCTAAAGAAATAAGGGACGAAGAGGAAATGGCATCAGACCAGAGTTCCATCAGATGAAAACAAACTTAACATTATCAACCAGCAGTTAAAACAAGGGATAAAACAAACCAAAAATGAATCTATTTGTGTGTACCTTACTGAGTTGACGAAGATAAAGCCACTGATTATTATTTTCTATAGAAAGCCGCAAAGTGATTTAAAAGGCTCACTGTACATACTGCTCCAATCAGGAATTCAAATGGTAAATGGGCTAGAAATAACACACAAAAAGTTAATAGATTTTCAGAGCACCTACAAAATAGCTTTCAACCAAATGAAGGCAAAGAATTACCGAACTGGGATATTCAAGATAGAGATGACTCAATCATCAGACCAACCTATCCAAAGGAAATTATTGTAAAATATGTAAAAACAAATATTAATCCTAAGAAAGCTTTCCTTTTCCAGTTTTTTGCTTGGTCTTGATAGTGCAGGAGAACTAGCACTACTCTATGCCCACATACAGACCTTGCTGTTTCCCAGCACTGTTAATTAGAACCCAAAAGTAAATGGTGGAAGTAGGGAATCCTACCTATGCATTAGAATTATTTTTAAATAAATTAAATACAAAAATCCCGTTGCTAAATCATAATTATTATTTATGAAGTGGGTATCAAATTTAAGAAAATTAAATTTTTATTTTTACTTTAGCATTGAGATTGTGTAAAAAATTATGAAGGTTACAGGGAAAAAAAGGCGAATGTTCACAAATTCCAGTTTTAAGGTAAAATGCTGTGAGAATCCGATAAAATATTGAAAAAAATCAAAACAGATGAGAGTAGCAAGCCACAGCGAATCTAAATTTTACCGCACAGAGGAAAAAGATGAACGTCCCGGCGAACTAGGGAAAAAAGATGAATGTCCATAAATATGGCACTGGCGCATTGTTTTGTTTTTCTCTCGATGCTTTTTCCCATTTTATTACGGGCTATTTTACTATTTCAGTAGTTCACGTGCCGTTTAATCGACCACCTGCAGGATGCTGTTTTTTTTTTCTCGTGCCACGTGCAATCGAAATATTTCGCAATGAGTAACGAAGATATTGGAGTTGATAGTGCAGTTTTTCCTCTAAGGTCTAAGCTATGCTTTCTAAGCATTGAATATCTGCGAAACGGCTTCAGAATATCCAACAGCAGTTAACCACTTTTGGACATGTTAAACATTCCAATCGAAAAAATCGTCTCCCAGATGAAATCTCCACTACCGTTTCTGGCCATATTGCATTACAGTTTCTATGATTCCCAACGTGTATATTTACCTGAAGATCTTAACGTGAAAAAAATTTTCAACATTTTTTTGCAACAAAATCCTGAGAAAAAGGTTTGCAGAACTATATTTGTAAATAAATTCAATATAAGTTTTGGCTATCCACGAACGGATACCTGCAGTACCTGTGATGAGCACAAGGGCAAGAAAATGAGCATCGAAAACGATCCTTCACAAAAAGCGCTTTTATGTCGTTTGGAAACAGAACATAAACTGCATCTTCTAAAAGCTGAAATGTTTTAGGAAAGAAAGAGAGCAGCCCGTTTAAATTCTCAAAAAAGTACAGAAAAATAGGCAATAGCAATGGATTTTTAAAAATCAATATCAGCACAAATGACATATATTATAAACGCCAACTTTCTTTTTATTCCTTTAATATCCATGTGCTGTCTAACTCTGCTTCATATTTTTATACTTACACGGAAACTGCTGGAAAGAAGAGCTCAGATGAAATCTATGCTATTTTATTTTATTTTTAATTTCTTGGATGAGCGTGTTCAAGAGTTAGAAATTTTCTGCGATTCGTGTAGCGGCCAAAATAAGAATTATACCTTATTTCGTTTTTTGCATTTTGTTGTCCATAAGACAAGAACGCTTAAGGAAAATCAAGATGACGTTTCCCGTTCGGGGAGACAGCTATCTAGAATGCTACCACAACATGGGTCTAATAAACCAAAAGGCAGCAGTAGAACTTCCGGGTGGATGGAATGAGCAAATTCTGAGTGTTAGAAGTAAACATGGTCCTTTTTGTGTAATTGACTGTGAATATCAAAATATTTTTCGTTCATGGACAAATCACTTTGCAAATTACTTCTGTAAAAAGTGTCCATTTGAAAGCAGAACAATCAAGGAAATTACACTACATACTGGTATGCCGAGAATGACAGAATATCGTGAATCATGTAACGGAGCTTGCACGACTTCTGTAGAAGAAAGTAAAAAAATATTGATTTTTTCCTCCTGGCCAATTTAAAGTATCTTCTTTAAAATACAACGAGAAACTCACTATATCTTTAAAAAAGTTTCAAGACCTACAAGCCCAATGCATATAAGTACTTTGAAAACTTACCTTATAACCACACTACCCAAGATGAAGACGCTTAATTTATGGTAACGGTTATAATTTACAATACTCAAGTTAACTTTTTGACGATCGTTGTATATTTTTTTATTATATTTTAACATTACCTAATATTTTAATGTTCTACCGAAATTTATCATTATGTGCCTTAGTTTGAATAAAAAGGTACGTATTTAGATTATTTGTTTATTAAGAGCTTCTCCTAAGTTTTTACTAATCTTAATTTTTTAGTACTACTACATCTAAAACGCCCTGTATATTTTTTGCATAATAATTTGTTTACTGTTTTCGTTGGTACTACTTTTACATAACCAAAATTAAAGTTGTATGCTCTTTCGTTTCAATAAATAATGCAATTACTAGCACATAGTTTATGATAAATTACTCCATTTCCCCACTCGAACCTATGTCGTATAACTTCAAATATTTTTTTCCAGGTACAAAAATAAACCTGTGCACTTAATAATTGGTCACAAAGTAATCTATACCACCAGGTATTGAGAAAAAAATATTTGAGCCAAATATATTTT